AGATACAGATACAGATACAGATACAGATACAGATACAGATACAGATACAGATACAGATATATTTCCTATCTTTATACTGTCTATTAAGCTGCAGGTTCAAAGAGCTTATTTACATAGTCAGAGACTCCGCAATGAGTCCTATTGACCTACGTTCACTTGGCTAATTTAACTTAACTCCTCGACATTAAACATCTTTATTACGATTTTCATGGGTTAAAGTTCCTCCCTCAGTTATAAACTTTCTCAGGCAATTTTGCCAACTTAACTTGCAAAAAATAAATTTAAAATCTAGAAATAATTTTAATGACTTGTACTTTGAATCTAAAAGTATGAGCAGGTGGTTTGAATGCATTAAAAGAACAACTGTTTACATAATGCTTTTACCGTAGATTGAAGGTAATATATTTTAAAGGTATAACCTTGAAAGGTATATAATATATGTATATATTCGCAAGATAAAAACAATAGTCGTATAGCCCTATGCTATCGTCGATATTAAACAATACAGTCAAGTTTAATTAGAGAAAAGGGGATATTAACAATCAGTTCAGTTAAATCCCATCCACATGTAAATCCTAAGTTTTAGCAAAACACTTTCCAAATTACGAACCAAGTTTGCAGTTTATAAATAAAGAACAGACGATTGGACCTGAGTAGGTGAACTTTAATACGACCACATATAAAAAAAAAAAAGAATATAAATGAGTATACGAGGTGTACTCAAAAGGAAATGCGAATGGTGAATTCTGACTATGTTCAGGTGTCAAGCATATTATTTATTATTTTTAATAGCTATTTTGATTAACTTTTTTAACATAGTCCACATTCTTGACCAAAATCAACACCTTGAAATAGTCACAGCCAGCACCTTTCTGGAGCCACTCCTTAAGGGCTAAATAGGCCCATAAATGGCTCATATACGATACAACTAGTCTAGCCGCATATGCATACGGTCAATATATAAATAAAGAAAATGCCAAAAAAATAAAATATAATTTTCATTAAATTTTTAACTTTCAATTTAAAGACTACCTTCATGGCCAAATCGCCGATTATAATCTTTTAATTGCATTTTACCGCCTCTTCTTAAAGTGTAGTATTATCGACTTATCGTGAGATTTAGACCTTAAAGGTATTTCATGTCTTTATGTAAATTCATTATGGGCAAATGGAAGCCCATAGCAGCAGCTGATGGTGCTGATTATGTATAAGCGGCTAGATTGAATCTCTGTTGAAATGCTGCAGGCGGTAGGCAACGGCAGCAGCCAAGTGGTAATTGTTTTTATTGCCAATCCGTTCGAGCGGCACTTGAATGCCAGGCCGGACTTACTGCGACTGCCTGTTGCTGCAGGCGAAGGCAGAAAGTGTGTCAACGCTGCCGCACATGCGCATAACTAACAACAACAACAACAACAACATCAGCAGAAACAGTAGAAACTACAGCAACAACAACAACATTACTGAGCAATGGTAATCAAAAAGTGACCTGAGCGCAACTTACCGCAACAATGGTTCAAAATTCACACTGTTTCACTTGAATATTAAAAATAAAATGAAACAAAATTGGCAGTGGGCCAAAATGAGTTATTTCACGTTTCACTTTACAAAGATTTTGCAAGCTCAAGAGACGCACGAAGCACACACACACTCACACTCACTCACATACACACACACGAGCAGTGTGTACAAAGGCTTCGGCTTGTAATGTTTTTGGGCAGGACGCGGCGAGGCGGCGAAACGGTAAAGTGGCAATAGTTGGGATATGCTAAGAACGCGAGCGCGACAATTGACGTCCAATTGGTAGCGCGGCTAAAACGACTCTGAGTTGGGAGCTTGTGAGCGAGCTTATGAAATTAATTAACGGACCAACTCAAGCTTGGCGAAATATGTAAAAGAAGCAAACAGCAGCAGAAAAACACAAACAGAGATACATACAACAACAACAGCCACAAGCAGCTGCGATACTTCGATAATGACGATAAAAAGCTTCGCTTGCTTGATTGTGCGCTCTCTGTGGGGCGCTGCCAACTTGTTCAAGGCAAAGCTTTGCCTTCAAGTACAAATATGTGCAAGCTTTTTTAAGTTTGACTGAGGGCTTTTTGTTAGTGTCTTGGTTTCGGGTTGCTTTAGCTAAGCTTGGCAGTATTTTTTTTTTTGTATTTTCTGCGTTAAACGCATATTTTAGCTTTTTCATATTTTAAATTTAGTTTGTAACGCATGAATGTGAAATATAATACATTGATTCGAATAATATTTTTTTAAAAAATAAAATATTTATTGTATATTTATCATAAATATCATATCCATTTTTATTTATTTATATTTGATATTCTTATATTTATTAATATTCTAAAATTAAAATTTAAAAATATTAAAACAAATTTTAATTCAATAAATATGAATTAAATTTCATTTAGAGCATTTAAAACTACTATTATATTCTACAAATAGAGGAGTACTTTATTTAAGGTTTTACTTTGCTTGTTTGGCTTGGTTTGCCTTTGCTTCGCGTTGGCTTTGCTTTGTTTTTATTTTGTTCGTTCGCTAATAAAAACAATAAACTGAGCGTAATTATACGTTGGCCAAGCCATAAGGCGCTATCGGCTATCGCCTATCGGTCGTGTTAAATCTTTCAATAAACTTCAGCTACCACGGGGGGCCATCTACCGTGGACTTTGGCGAGTCCAAACTCGTTTTCTCATTGCTGATAAGTGAAGTTGACAGTGGAGGGGCTGTGTCATACACCTGGCTGCTTAGTATGGCATTAAAATATATGAAATTCTTACCTTTCTTCATTTTCAATGGCTTGCCCCAGGGGCATTTGGTTGAAGTTCAACGCTTTTGTTCTTCACTTCTGCAATTCTGCAATTTTTCAATTATGCAATAATGGCAAAAAGGTAAAATACATATACTAAATTGCTTATATTTTAAGCGGTTTATCAGCTCGCTTTTGGCTTGTCACTTATCTAAATTGTTGTTGCCATAAAATTCCTTAAAAAAAAATATAAAAAAAAATTGTTCACAGAAATTAAACCATAAAGATAGACCTAATGACTTGTTGATTGATTACGAATCAAACTATGTAAGCGATAATTGCAGAAAAATTTCCGGTAATTTTATATAGTTTGCATTATATTACGTATACGCACTGTCTACATATCATGCTCAACAGATCTTTGTAAATTTATAGCACACCACAATTTAGGCTAATAAATCATTGCAGTTTGCATATAAAATTTAATTTTTATGTAAATTTTACGTGAGCGACCTTAGCATAGTTTTATTTCATGTATGAATTTGTTAAGCAAAAAAGGTTTCTGATTACTGCGACAGTTCATCTGTTTGGCCTTGTTAAGGTCAAGCTCCAAATTGTTAACTACACAACTCCGTCAAAATACAAATTTTTCTTACAAATATTTATATTTCCATCATTTTTTTAATAATGTCACAAATTTATCCGCATGAAATACTTGTTAATGAATTACAATCAATGTTTATTATATCTTTTGTAATCAAAAAAAGTAATATAGAAATATTAATAATATCGACGAGAGGGAGAGAGTGTAGAAATAAATAATATCGTTCCATCAAATTCCTTACTGTAAGATAAGAAACAGAAATAAAAGTTGAAAGTATAATTTATGAGAAACACCGAGTAGTCTGTTTTGTTGTAATACACGCTTATTTATTTGGCAGTTATCAAAAAGGCAAGTAAGTAACTTGATTAGCGTATCGCATAAGATAACGCAAAAATAAATATACTCCTGTGTATATATGTATATGTATGTACTTGTACATATATAAATATTTGTAAATACATTCGGAGAAACTTTTATGCTGATACGCTCAAGAGAATTTTTTGCAATCGCTGATTGACATTTTAGATAAACTATTCATAAATTGAACAACAAAACTGCTTTTATTTCGTGAAAGTATTTATTATGTCATCCAGTTTAAGTGCCCAATTTTCGGGCTATTAGAAGAAATTTGCAACTTACATAAACTTCATCAAAAGAAAATTAGAAACTCAAACATCAATCAGTCCGTATTTCAGTCATTCAGTCAATCAGACATTCAAGAATTCGCTCACTCTTTCAGTCAGTCGATCGGTCAGTCAATCAACTAGGAAAAGAAGCAATCAATTAATTAATCAATAAGTAAGTAATTATAATTAAGTCGGTTAGCCAATCAATCTCAGTACAAACAATCAATCAGTCGGTTATAGTCAATCAGTTAATTGATCAATCGCGCTGAATGCTGTTTCATTCAATCAAACGTCAATCAAGGAGTGAGTCTGTCAGTCAGTCAAACACTCAATCAGTCAGCTTGTCAACCTTACAGTCGGACAGGCAAACAAACAGTCAATCTTTTATTTAGTCAATCATTTGTTCAATCAGTGTGTCAACTGACACAGCCAAACACTTTCGCAAAATGCAAATACATTTCCCTTCGGCCCAGCTCAGAATGACTCAGTTTTACTTGGTTTGTGTGGTGAAGCACCTGTTCTCAGTTGAATATATGTATGTATTTCAAGACGATAAGTTTTACTGTGCTTGGGTCACAGAACATTCAAAACTTTTCTTTTGTTCAAAGATTCTCGATGGCGTCATCAGTCAAAGTTTACCCGGTGAGCGTCCACTCGCTTTAATTTCCACATTGACAAGTCATCAAGTACTTACGCTACATTTGTAATTTTTAAGTGTGCTCTACACTTTCTTATATCGTCTCATTATCGCTTAATCGAATCGAAAGTCGCGATGTGTATCCAAAGTACATCATACGATTTCGCGAATATACATTTTATTGATGAAGCTGAAGAACTTAATTGCCGGCGACTGTTTCCCTTTATGAATGGAACAAATCGCCGAGCTGTGCAAAGTGCAAGCCCCACCAACAAATACTTCTACTTCACAACAAATAGTTCTAAGGCGCTGAGCGCTTTATGGAACACGTAATGCGGAACAGCGTTTGTGCTTGGCATAGTTAGCTCGCTTATCTAAATTAGAGCACCCGCTTAGTTTGTGTAAAATATGCCGTTTCTGATAGTGTGCACTAAAATAGATTCAGTCTATGCTTCCTCGTCAGCCTCAGTGAA